GAGAATTAGAAGGAAGTAAATACATATTTAGGTGGTGTAACAGGCTATTATAATACAATGTCATTAATCAATATATTAAGATAACCTATGTTATTTAAATTACTAAAATAGCCTATAGACAATAATGAGCAATAGGCCTAATAATTCACCACATTGCATAGGATGATGCGATGACAAATTCAAGCGCAGCTTCACCTAATTAATTATTAATTTGTTTAGTTGTATCATTTATAATTTGAATTATACAAGAACACCACCAATAAACTTCGGGTAATCAAAAAAAAAAAAAGGTTTTATTAATTTCATCAGATCGGATTTTTTTTCTTCAGAAAACAGGCAGACTAGAATAAATAGCAACACAGAAGCGAACAATAAATGATAGAAATGGCAAAACAAAAATTTTATAACTAATCCAAATTTTGAACAATTATGAGTAACATTAGGATAAAACGTCTAAATATGATATATTGATCGCTGTCAGATGCTGAGCCGACAGGATGCTTTACTTATCTCCCCACCATCAGACTCTCCATCACTCATGGCATTTAGTGCTTCTAATACCTCTTCAGCATTCATAAATCGCCTTCTTTTACTCATTTTGTCTTTATTTATGAAACTGATAAACGCTAATTCAGTGACTGAAAGGCGTTGCCTAGCAATGTACTATGCTAAAACATAAGCGACACGAAAATGACAGCACAAACATACAGGCATTATAGCAGGCAAATTTGACCCACGCTGGCTCCTTACAGGTATAAATGCCCCGTTTTTTTTATCTGGTTTTATCTAAACAGTTTTTAACAACAGGGGATAGTAAATCACACAATTTTAGTAAAAGTCAGTGACGGGGAGACTTGAATGTTTTATTAAAAATCTTTTATGTACGTTTTAAAAACAGCCACGGGTAAAATTTACCCTGTGGCGGTTCTAGTGTTAAACATGTATTTTTTCATGTATGTAAAAACACTTTTTTTTTTTTTGGTAGTTTTACTGTTTTGACGGTTGCACTTTTTCTGGCTGTTTTTGTACGCAAGGATGCATATTATGTAAATGCACCTTTAAGAGATCTGTCAGATTAGTCAAGACTATCTTAAAATAACCCCATCAACTAGTCAATTTTGAAAAAGACAGTTTTCATCATCAACAAGCACATGGCACATATTTACATATCAGAATCTATCAACTTTTTAGCAACTTAGTCCACCCTGATGAACATCATTGTTTTTTTTATTCTAAACTTACCGAAATACATGGTAAATGTTATTTATCCATCTATTAACTGTCTCCTGTCAGACTTTCAACAGTTGCATTTACCAGTTTCTTTCTTTTTTTTTTGCGGTAAATTTACAATCAGTTTAATAGTAATTCCCAAGATCGGGAATTTTGCATGATGGTGAGGATTTCCCCACACAAATTTTGCAACGAGTTCAAGCTGGTAACGTGGATTGTGTGCGTTATACACAGCTACACTATTACAATGGAAAAATCAACCTTTCAGTGTATAAAAATTTTGCAGGAAAAAAATTTTCAAGGAGGGGGTTCACCAAAAATGTTTAATTTGCTGAAAATGTACTCACCTTCAGCCCATCAAAGATGTTGAGTTTATTTCTTCATTGGAAGAGATTTGGAGAAATTTAGCATTACATCACTTGCTCACCAATGGATCCTCTGCAGTGAATGGGTGCCGTCAGAATGAGAGTCCAAACAGCTGATAAAACATCACAATAATCCACAAGTAATCCACACGACTTCAGAAGTGAAAAGCTGCATGTTTGTAAGAAATAAATCCATCATTTAGACGTTTTTAACTTTAAACCATTGCTTTTAGCAAAAATATAAAGAAATCTATTCATAATATTGCTTTCTCCCATGAAAAAGTCATCTTTGAATCAGGAGAGAAATATGCACAGATCAAGCACCATTTATGAGTGAAAACAGTCCAAATGGTTCTAAACTAGTTTGTCGGTGGACTTTGATGTGAGAGGACAACAGGGCATGGACTTTTTCATTGGGGGAAGCATTTTAATGGATTACAGACATATATTTTGATTTGTATTTTTGGCCAGAAGTGACTGTTCAAAATTAAAACACCTTAATTATGAATTTGTTTCTGACAAACATGCAGCTTTTTGCTTCACTAAAGGTTAATTGATGAACTAAAGTTGTGTAGATTACCGTTTTGTTTTTATCAGCTGTTTAGACTCATTCTGACGGCACCCATTCACTGCAGAGGATCCACTGGTGAGCAAGTGATGTAATGCTACATTTCTCTAAATATGTTCCAATGAAGAAAGAAACTCCAATAGGTGACATATTTCTTTTAAGGGTCAGTGAAAGGGGAAAAAATGGACAGAAAAAATAAAATATGTAATAGAAGTAGAATATGTCTCCTTTAAAGTCTGTTTCTACATGTACATGTCACAAGACGTGTGTATGTGTGTGTGTGTGTATGTGTACCTCTGTGCATTACGCGGCGGGAGTGCATGTGTTCCAGTGCGCTGCACAGCTGAACAAAGTACTTCCATACTGTCTTCTCAGGAATCAGTCGTCTTTGTTTCTTGAAATGCTGCAGGCAATAAACAAATAAATAAATAAATATGCTGTGATGGCAGCACAGACTTTTCATAGACGCATGCAATCTTCGTTAACCCATAACATCAACGTTTTATTCTAAATGTTTAGCAGTCAAACTGCTCAACCTACTGAATGGCTATTAAAGGCACACAGTTTTTAAGATTTAAGAAGCCTTAAGATATAAATTGTCTCAAAAGCTCAGCATGAACCCCTGCTACTCTAAAAAGAGCACAACAGGAGGACCATGAAGGTGAAGGGCTCTGGGTTCGACTATAATCTGATGCAGGCTGTAGATTGAAACCCCTCAATAAACTTTCCTTGCCTTTTCATTTGAAGCAACTGCAATGGAAAACATCTGAAGTTTGTGAGTACAGCAGGAGCCTCATGGGGAAACAAACATTTGGGGAGACTTTCAAGATGCACACATGCTTAGGATGATTACAGCATACAAGCACTGAGAAACATCTCCATGAATATGACAGATTGCAATTAGATAATGCCAACAAGATCTTTACATAACGGATGCACATGTATTTTAACATATTAGTTACTGGCTGATATTTGTGATTTTATCAGTTGATACTGAATATTAATTAGCCGAAAAATGAATGTTAAACATCATAATTTACATTCAAACCTTTATTAGGCGTTTCTTCGAAATGCATGGTAAACATGTTATTTATCCATCTATTAATTTTTTGTCAGACTTTTTGTACCGTTCAAAGGGTCGGTAAGATTTTTAATGTTGTTGAAAAAAGTCTCTTATTCTCACCAAGGCTGCATTTATTAGATAAAAAATAGTACAATAAAAACATTAATATTGTGGAATATTACTACTATTTAAAATAATTTGTTCATATTTTATTATATTTTAAAATGTAATTTATTCCTGTGAAGCAACGCTGGATTTTCTCAGTTGATACTGAATATTAATTAGCCGAAAAATGAATGTTAAACATCATAATTTACATTCAAACCTTTATTAGGCGTTTCTTCGAAATGCATGGTAAACATGTTATTTATCCATCTATTAATTTTTTGTCAGACTTTTTGTACCGTTCAAAGGGTCGGTAAGATTTTTAATGTTGTTGAAAAAAGTCTCTTATTCTCACCAAGGCTGCATTTATTAGATAAAAAATAGTACAATAAAAACATTAATATTGTGGAATATTACTACTATTTAAAATAATTTGTTCATATTTTAATATATTTTAAAATGTAATTTATTCCTGTGAAGCAACGCTGGATTTTCAGCATCATTACTCCAGTCCTCAGTGTCACATGATCCTTCAGAAATTATTCTAATATGATGATTGGCTGATTAAACATTTATTATTATTTTATTATTATTAAGATTTATTTTTGGCATTTTATTGTGATAGGATAGTTTAGAGTTGCCAGGAAACAAATTGGGAGAGAGAAGGGGGGGGGGAACAGGATCGGGACTCGAACTCGGGACGCCCACAAGGCTATCGTTGCCGACACAAATCACCAATTTGTGAACCAATGCAACTAATTCAAATCATCAACTCAAACAAACAATTCGCTCACGAATCAGATGCAATATCCAATGCGATGGATTTAGTTTTTTTTTTTTTTTTTGTAATTGCACAATTATTTTCCATGACTGCTGTAAAAGTAACAGATAAAGATTTTACAAAAGAATCACCTTGACTCCAAATCTTTTGGCGTCATTGTGAACGCAGTGGGATTTTTCTTAAAACACATATTTGTACTGACCAATCATCTCTTGACATGGTTTGTAGGCCATGAACATCATTTAATCTCTTAAACACAGATTTCAAGTGTGTTTGATATTACGTTTCACCAATTTCAGATCAAAGCGCACAGTTTGTTTTAAATCAAACAGATGTTTTAGCATTGCTGACAATTCTGGACACTACTTCATAAAACCAACATCTATTATTCTCCTAAAACGCTGAGTGTGATACACCATCAAATGATCCTTTTTAAAATTCTGCAGCGATCCAGAGCTTTTAGCATGGTGTTGTCCAGAGCAGTCGCTTTAGAGGTCTGCAAGTGCACGACCTCGCTTCAAAGCAGAAACTAATATGACGTTACGCTATTAATTAAGACAGAATGAAGCTTGCTTAGCCAAAACGACTGAGTAATTATGACCTTTTCACATGCAGTCTCAATAATTGTGAAGTAAACCTTCTTGTCGAGGCAGTTAAAAGGGGTCGGGAATTGATTAACAAAACAGGTTATTTTAGCGCGACATAATACTTCATTGTGCGAATGCTCACTCGGGCCGCTTTGCGCCTCGTCCCCACCCGTACCTCTTCACAAAACAGCGGCGAGCGTGCAGTCTCAAGCCCCAGAAAACCTTGGCCCACATCCAAACAAAGCCGGTGGATCTATTCTTCCCCTGCCTTTCTATTTGCATATCAGAGGGCTGTTTGATGTCAATGAGGGAGAGCGGCAGCCCCCTCTGTGCCTTTAAAAAGTAAACACGGCACATGCAATATTCTGTAAGTGCATGCAAATGAAGGGGCCATTTGATATCATTTGAATTCCGAGATGGACAGAAAGAATTGGGGAGGGGGCTGAGACGCAAAAAAAATAACAAAGAATAAATTAAAAAAATATATTTATGCATTCGGAGCTTCAGTTTTACATATGACTCAATGTTCGGTCGTACAATGCTGAGGGGATTAGCCGCTGTAGGGGAGGGGGCTGAGACGCAAAAAAAATAACAAAGAATAAATTAAAAAAATATCTTCAGTTTTACATATGACTCAATGTTCGGTCGTACAATGCTGAGGGGATTAGCCGCTGTGTACACCTGTGCAGTGACATTGTTTAATAAAAAATAAAACTAATTAAAGCGCTGCAGAGCAGAAGGGCAGAGAAATCAAGCAGCGTGGTGGAGTGGACCGAAGTCGGGATATTTGCGCAAGCGTGCGTTATGATGCACATGTCAAAGGCGTCGTCATACTAATTCGTCCTGTTCCTCATTTATCCTTCTGCAAACGCTTTGTTTGCGCTGGGAATGATTTATGCGGGTGGAGATTTGACGGCGAGGGGTTTTACATGCAGACCATTAAATGTGGAGCATCAAGTTGTAAATGCGAACTGCAGGGGTTGTCAGGAGGAAACGGGATGGCTGAGTGAATCGAACGTGCATGAGTCTAATAAACAATACGGTTGTTGTAACCAAGCCAAAGGGTATCCTAAAAACGTGGTCGGGATGTAGATCATTTTACCTACGTTCGGTCATCTAGCAGCTGGTACGGTGGGAATACTCTGAGGGAGGAAAAAAGGAAACTGCTGACAAATCGGCATGTGTCCTTACCTTTATCATTTGTGAGAGGTCCCCGGCGTCTGCGAGCTCCAGTACTATATTTAGCTCGTTCTCTTCAATGAATGACGCGTGGTATTTAATTACGTTGGGGTGGTTCAATTGCTGTGGAAAAGAGGGACAGAAAAGGCAGAATGTCAGTGACTGTTTAATTATTAACAAGACTCTGTGGCTCAGGAAAGCCTGCAAATAAGACGGAGGCAGAAACTAAAGCAGATGCTTGTATGAAGGTAATAATGACATTATCGTCTAGTGTTTGAGGTACTCTGGTCTCTTCAAAATTAAAACGACTTGAATGGAACACATTTACAACTGCTGTGGTAATATCAGAAATGACAGAAAAATGGGTAACAATTAGGCTTGTCAAATAATGCAGTTATGCAGTGTTAATTTTTGTAAAAAAAATAAATAATAATAATAATAATTGTACAAATTAAAATAAATGAAATAATAAGTCTGATAATCTCCAGTCCAACAGTGTGCGCGCGCGCGTGTGTGTGCGTGCGTGCGT